GGATTATCCAGTCCATCCGACGTGGGTGGTAGAGATGTAGCCTGAGCACACAAAGAGTTGCCCTCTCCTGCCTTCCAATCTCGAATGATGTTCTCTCCACCCAGTCACCCTCTCGTCACAGGACTCCTTGAGAACCCTTCCCCCCCCCCCAGCCCTCCCCTTGGCTGTTGACAGTGGCATCAGCCACCAGCACACTCAGGTAGCACCTTCTGGCATCCACGTGAAAAGATGGTGGAGAGAGAGTGCTGTGGCCACCCAAGGCTGAGAAGAAACAATCTCACTACAGCAGAATCCTTTGATTTGTCTTTGAACTTGAAACCACGGATGAGTTTATGTGAAAAAATGTACACCTATAAAGAAAATAGCCATTTCTCTCCTTTCTGCTTCTTATTTATATGAAAGGCCATTTTCACTTGCCTCACATTTTCACTGCAAAAACCACCTTTGCAAAATTAAAAGGCAGAGATCTGATTTTCTAGTTGCCTCTAAGTGATGATGTTTTTATTATTTTCTAATGATATTCTATTAGAGGTTCAGTGCATTGCAAATGTGGGGGCTACAATTCTATAGGAGAAGGGGGGTGAGGAGAGAGGAGGAAGAGAAGGAAGGAAGAGGGAGAGAGAAAGGAGGAAAGGAAGGAAGAAAAAAAAATAAGTTTCTGGGAGAGCAGTATTTCTTAAACATTGCTGTATGGTGGAATCTCCTGGGTGAAAATGCCCATGCTCAAGCCCCCTTTTAGAGATGTTAAAGTTCCATTGATTCTACATGCAATCAGGGTTGAGATTGATGTTATCCAGCTTTATGTTTTATTAGATAGTGACCCAAGAATATTCTTTTTTTAAATTTTATTTTATTGATTTTTCAGAGAGAAAGTGATAGGGATAGAGAGTTAGAAACATCGATGAGAGAGAATCATTGATCAGCTGCCTCTTGTACACCACCTACTGGGGATGTGCCCGCAACCAAGGTACATGCCCTTGCCTGGAATCGAACCCAGGACCCTTCAGTCCACAGGCCGATGCTCTATCCACTGAGCCAAACCGGTCCCGGCAAGAATATTCAATTAGTCAACAATTATGACAACTCAAGAGAATGTTAGAGGTTAAGAATTGCTAGCAAGAAGCCCACTAGCTTCTCATTATAGAGGTCTAAGAAGACCACTTCCTCCCTGAGAATTCCCCCTCTCCTTGGGGTAAGCACTGCCATTGCCTTCAGTCCCAAATCCCACTTCTCTGAAGCTGCACAGTAGCCCGGTGCCATGTAATTCTCCTTATCTCTCAAGCTTCTAAAATTATGACCGGATCAATGCTTCAGGCTCAGTCCCATCAAACCTCTTTTCCTGATAATAAGATAGACTCCGGGGCTTTTAGCATCCATAGATCATCCCCACAACTCTTATTAGCGAAGGGTTCATTCATTCACTGCATCAAACCTTTTATAACTGCTAGCTAGTTGAACAATTCCCGAGGTAGAGTGAGCCATTGGAAAGAGCACTGCACTGAGAAACCAAAGGCCTTGAATCAAGTTTCAGATTAGCCCACACCTCTCCCGTTGACCTGAAGCAAGTCATGGAGCCTTTATAGCTCCCGGGCCCTTAAGTACAAAGCGAGAGATTGGTTACTGTCTAATATCCACTGCGGCTCTGAAATTTCATGTTCTGATCCACATTCTGGTAGGGCGTGCTGAACAGTTAAGGGCGAGGAAAGTGATACAGGGAAACACAGGGGAAAAAGCGAATGGTCCAGTTAAGACATTGACAGAAGTTGACAGATTTGCTCTCAAAACATTGACAATATTTCTGAGTTGCCTTCTTTAAGTACTATAATGAACTCCTATGGCATGAAATTTGGTAGGTTTCCTTTCTGCTACTTATCTGTATGAAAGACCATCTTCACACCCCTCCCACTGCAAAAACCACCTTTGCAAAATCAAAAGGCAAAGCTCTGATTTTCTGATTGTTAGTTGCCTCTAAGAGAGAAAGTGATGATGCTGTCTTTTTATTATATTATTTATTATTTTTTGAAACTTTGATTTTTTGATAGTATTACAAGATGTCCCCCATCTTCCCCTTTAGCCCCCTTCAACCACCCCGGGCCTTCACCACTCTGCTGTCTGGGTCCATGGGCCATGCACATATGCATGTAAGTTCTAATGGTTAAAAAATCTAATATTTCAGGAATGATTTAAAATATCCCAATTCGCTGTTCCTATATAATAGTTTTTGCACCCACATCTCTCTCTATTCCTTTCTTTCCAACTATCATGACTGTCTCCTCATGCAGCCTCCTCCTCAATACCATCCTGCCGATACCACTGCATATATCTTTGTGCCACTTGATGCATGACTTTTGTACTCCAAAAAAGGTTTAGGTCTCCTCATTTCCTGCCGATCTAGCTAACATGTTGAGCTTGGCAATCCCAGATTTCTACACACTAGCCCATAACCTACCTTTCCTCTCACTTTTTTCTTGTCACATTTTCTCCAGCCAGTTTGGTCTGCTTAGTGTCCACCTCTCAATTATGTCATACAAAGTCCCTTCCCTATGTCTTTGCTTATGTTGTTCCTCCCACCTGCAGTAGCTTTCTCCATTTTCTCTCACATGTTTGCTGCATATTTCCTGCTTCAATCTATGCTCCCCCCCCCCCGTCTACTTCCTTTCTCTTTCCCTTCTTCCCTTTCTTCCACGTTCCCATAATATCAATACCAATATTTAGGGAATACAATAAATTATCAGTAGTTACCTTAAAAATAAACACAGTATTACCAGACTTTAGTTGATGGCATCCTTGGTGCTTCTTCTCTTTGATCAGGCAAGTTATCTTATGTCCCTAAGCTTTTAGCTCGAAATCAACACCCTTCAGTACATTCCTTTGTGAGCACCCTTAGTATTACTAATGTACACATCCAAGCTTAGGTTGCACTTTAAAATTTATGTGTAAGCTTCCCCAAAGTTCAGAAAATGGTCTAAGAAATATGAATTTTAAAAACACACACACAGTGAAGTGTTCCAGTCATTCTATAGCTTATTTATTTCAATGGTGTGAGTCATGCACTTCTCATTCAGAGTTGGTGATAACAGAATTGAAGCCTGTTACCTCAAGAAGGACCACACCCTTTGGTCTCATAGATGAGCCAGCTGAGGCTCAGGTGTAGAGGACATTGAGCCCAAATGAAGTATTGCACTTTGCAAAGCCATTTGCCCTGCTTCCTCTTCAAAACGGGATCCTCTCAGTCTTCCAATCCCTTCCACATCAAGTCCTCTGATTCCCAAAGATTGTCTGTAAATAAAATAAAGCCCTCTCCAGGGACCTGAAATGGGACAAGAAGATCAACCTATAGTGAGCTCTTCCAATTTTTGAAATTATTTTATTTATGCTTTTAGGACATAACAACTTTCTGGAAGTGGGATCAATAATATATATATATATATATATATATATATATATATATATATATATATATATATTTGATTTTTTACAGAGAGGAAGAGAGAGGGACAGAGAGTTAAAAACATCGATGAGAGAGAAGATCAGCTGCCGATCAGCTGCCTCTTGCACACCCCCTACTGGGGATGTGCCTGCAACCAAGGTATATGCCCCTGACATGAATCGAACCCTTGACCTTTCAGTCCGCAGGCCTATGCTCTATCCACTGAGCCAAACCGGTTTCAGCAAGAAGGAAGCTTCTTCCCCCCCTTCCCCCCCCCCCCCGAAATTCCAACCCAAAACTTCACTTTTTGTTGTGTTTTATTTTTTAGAGACTGGGAACCAATCATAATTCCACTCCCTTTCCTCCACATGTTTTTCTCCTATGAAAGCTTTGTGACTCTGGATGTAGGAAATAGCTTTGCTTTGCTTATTCTATCCAAGCAGCTGCCTGGGGACTCCTGGCCCCTGGAGAAGTGACTCCCTCTCCGGAAGGACCTTGGCTTTCCCATCTGTCCAATAACGGGGCTGGTGGGTGGTGTCTACAACCTCGCCCACCGCGAACGTGTGGGAGTCTGCGAGCCCCACTGCCTTCTCACTTTCCCACTCGAGTGTCTGGCACAGAGACAGTTAAAGGTTAAGGATCTCTTCAGAGGAGAGTTATTAACACGGGGACAGGCTCGCCAGCAGCAGGTTTGCAGCCTCACCACGCCCCTCTCCCAGACTCCCCCCCAGAGGGAGGTGCAGCGGGGTCTCCGCTCTCCTCTCCTCCTCCAGCGCAGCTCCGTGGGTCTCGGGGACACCCAGCTGTCTCTACAAGCCCCTGACCCCAGTGAGCCAGGACGCCACATCTGGCTCCCGTCCCGCCGTTACCCCACCTCCAGGTCCCTCCTGGTTCCATTTCCACTTCCCACATCCTTCCAGCCCCCACAACCACTTCGCACCGCTCCTCCGGCTCTCCCAGCCGGCTGTCTAGGAGCGGGCGCTCTCGGGGTGTCCCGTCTCCCAGCCCCATTTCCCAGCCCCAACCTCTCCAGTTCGCAGCCCCCCACCCCCTCCCGCACCTAGGACTAGCCTTCGCCCTCCCACCCTCCTCCTCCCCCCAAAACTCCGCAGGTGCCCTCCGGGAGCCTCTGGTCCGGCATCCACGCCCGGAGACCTCCCGCGCTCACCTCCCGGCAGAGGCGAGCGGGTCAGCAGCGGGGCGCCTGCCACCGGCGCGGGCGGAGGAGGCACCGAGCCCGCCGGACCCGCACCTGCCGGACCCGCTCTGCTCGGACCCGCACCGGCACCGGCACCGGCACGGGGAGACCGGATCCCTGAGCAGCCTCACGCGGGAACCGGCACCCAGACTCCCGGAACGCCGCCTCCAGCCCGCGGACGTCTCCGGGGCTCGCCCAGACCCGGACCCCCTGGAAGAAGGGGCGCGCGGGGCCGTCTGGAGCGCCGCCCCCCTCCGCCCGTCCACCGGCCCGCCCGCGGGGCGCTGCTGCGCTCGGATCCGGTCTGGTCCCCGAAGTGGAGATGCGCCAGCGGGCGGCCCGGGCGCGCAGCTCCTGAGCCCAGCCGGCACCATGCGCCTGCGGCCGCTGCCCCTCGTCGTGGTCCCCGGCCTGCTGCAGCTGGTGAGCCCGCCCGGGAGGGGCGCGTTTCGGCGGGAAAGCCGCCCCGGGGAAGCGGAGCCTTGGGCACCTCGGACCCGGGCTGGGAGGGCGCGCAGGGAGGGAGTCGGGGTGCCTGCGGGAGTTGGAGGGGAGGGTCGGGGTTGCAGCAGAGGGAGCGGGCAGGTGAGGGGCGCCGCGGGGGCAGGGGCTCGGAGGGCGGCCAAGTGGGCGGAAAGTGGCCGGGAAGAGGGCGCGAGAGGAGAGAGAGGCTTATGGAGAAGCGGCCCCGAGGCGCTGGGAGTGGAGGGACGGGGTGAGGATGGGCTGGGGGTAGAAGAAAGGGGTGAGGATGGGCTGGAGGACCTGCTTCCAGCCCAGAGTGAGGGGCTTGGCGGCTTTTCTGTTTCACGTGGTGTTTGCTCGGATGCCCGCAGACACTTCTCCCAAACCGCTGCCTCTGCACCCCCCTTCGCACGGCCGGTGAGCGGCACCTTTCTGGGGGGAAAGTCGGCTAAAAGACGGATTCGGGTCGGGGCAGACTGGGTTTCTTCATCGGGTGCCGGTGCTGGAGGCGATGCGGGATGTAACTTTCACACCCAACTCCGCGCAGAGCCCTCTGACATCCCTATGCATGTATGTGTGTCCCCAAGACCTTTCCTGCCGGTCCGGGCCCAGGAAGGGAATTAGAAGGTGGATCAGGGGTCTCCAGCGAGGCTAAGGCGACTGTGGGCATTGCATCTCATTGCTCCTTGCTATGCCCCCCTCCCTCCTGGGGCGTCCTGCTTCCTCCTTCTGAAATATACCCCTGTGCTGTGTGTATTGCTAGTTAATTACACTTAAGGGAGATCTCCAAATAAGACCCTCAGGAAGACAACTTTTAAAGTGAAATTGCAGAAGGGGACTGCTTGGCGGGGTCTGCGTCTGTGCTGGATCCCTCCTGCTTTGCTGGCCCTGGTCTTGACAGGGTGCTGTTAGAGGGTTTTCTCCAGATGCCTGGTTTCTCAGGCGCTGATACCGAAGACAGGCTGCTCCAGGCTGTGAAAGCAAGGTGAAGGAACCCAAGCACTTAGAGAATGAAGATCCCTCCCTTCTTCCCTCCTTCTCTCCCCCCCTCCCTCCCTCCTTCCTTCCTTCCTTCCTTCCTTCCTTCCTTCCTTCCTTCCTTCCTTCCTTCCTTCCTTCCTTCCTTCCTTCCTTCCTTCCTTCCTTCCTTCTCCTTCCTTCCTTCCTTCTCCTCTATCTCCTTCTATTATTTCCCTTTACCGGGAAAGATCAACTAACTTAGGAAAGTTTCTTTATGAAATGTATGCTATTGTAGAGGCAGAGATACTTGGCAAGTTTTGAGGCTGGAAGAGACTCCAAAAGGTCTTAGAAAGGCAGAGGTACTGCAAGGAAGGGCCGGTCCACTCTTACACCGGAGTTCGCTCCACCTGCTCAGCGTTAACTAAGGAAGTCTTCAGTGGCATCGAGAAGAAATGCTGCGATGCTCCAGCGAGTCCCTGAGTGAACCGGCACATACGGTCTATAGGCAACACTGCATGTTAAAATAAATGTTACATTTCAGCCAGGCATTATGCAAGCAACATATATGTTACGTTAGTCTTTAGTGTCCCCTGCTTTTTAAAATGTTTACTCCGGAGTCCAATAAAAGGCGATGTACTAGAGCAGTGTCTGTATGGTATACGTAAATAAAATTCTAAAGCCTGGGGAGAGCAGGTACTTAGGTAGGGTCTTCAGAATATCTTCAGGAATAGCTTAGCTCATTCATTTAATTTTGCATTTGGTAGCCATCAACTGTGTTAGACTCTTCAAGACAAGAAGATCTATTTCAGCGTGTGTTAGGAAAAAGTTCACCTATCCGATACCATATTGCAAAATATTAGATTTTTTCCCCACAAGTCCGTAGTCCATAAGGAATAGGAACTACATCTTGAAGGTATTGCATTCCCTCCTTAGGAGCTGGACTCTACTATTGCAGCATGGACTGATTGATTAGTTTTTAAGGAAGCTTATGTCAAATTCTAATCCATTTTGGATTGTGCTCGGGTTGTAATGTTTCTGCTCCGGGAGCACTTTATCATACTAAGCTGCAGCTGTGTGATAAGCACACATGACTTACACGGCCGTCCTTCTGGACAATAACGGGCTGTTTACATTGCCCACATTCTTAGAGCTGTTTCCAGTCTTACAACATCAGGGGCTGGGATCTGAAAGGAAAACGGAGGTGCTGGGCAGGGTAGGTCTGCATTCACACATCCTAGTCTCACCATGGGCCCCACCCCAGCAAGTATCAAAAAGAACAAGTCATACTTTGGTCTTTCCGGTGGCTTATAGTTTTGGTCCTTCCGATGGCTTATAGTGCCCTTTTCAGCTGATATCGAACTTCTTTGCTAAGTTCCAACAGCAATAAATGTGTTCATGATTTTAAAACTAGGTTTTTCAATTTTCTAAGATGCCCTTAGTAGATCTGTCCTTGTAGGGAAAGAAGAGCAGGGGTGAGACGGGGTTATGGTTGGAATTGGGTTTTACTTTTCTATCCCCACTGCCAACCTGAAGAATGTACTTTTTAAAGATGCTAAATATTTTTATTGAGTAGTGGATTCATTTGGGGATGTTGAAATTTAATTTTAAGAAAATTGCCTGTTTCATCTGAATGCAGCCTTTTGGGGAGTTGGACCCACATAAGCTACTTACCCCATAACACTGTTACAAATACTATAATCTTTTTACTTATTTTTGTGATATTTCAAAATTTTGAGAAGACAATAAACTGAATTGATAAATATTCCAGGTAGTCTATGACACATGTGTGTATGTTACCTGTTTGCCAGATTTTCCTGACCTGTATCTAGTGTTTTACTAGAGAGGTTGCTATACTTAATTAATAGGATTTCTAGGCACCTGCAAAATTTAAATATCAATCCTGAATGTATTATTTTCTTAGAAATTTTTATTCAGCAACATATCTGTATAAAAAGATTAACAATGCATTTTTCTGCCATATAATGAAGAGAATATTATCATTTGAAATTAATATAATAATAAATTAAATGTTATTTCATGACATAGTCCAGAGTAGACTTCTCCAATGACAACTTTTTACAGATTTGCATAATTTATAACTCGTAGTAAGTGTGGTTTTTACCTTTAAGTAAAATTCGGATTATGAAAAGATTAAATTTAAATGGATGATTAGGTTGACTTTAAGATAAAATCTAGCTACAACTTTTAAAATAAGTTCGTTATACATTTCTACTTATTTTTCTATGATAGAATTATGAGTTTATAAAGTAAAATAGAAATTAAAAGTAATGCGAGTTAGATAATTTTGAGAAGCCTATAAAATCAGAATACTTATCAAGCAGGTGTTAGAATTCTAAGTTGGCTCTCATTACATAGTATCATCCCCCATAAACTTAAGGATATTTTTGCTTACCTTAACAAATTAATAAATTTTATATTTGTTTAGTGTGATATTTATAACATTTATTGATTGCCAGTTTTGTACAAGACATGATAGACAACTCATAACTGTTTTTCATTAAAAAATCACAATTTCCCTCGTACAATTTTGATCAATAAACATCAAATCAGTATTTCCCAGTGTAGGACCAATAGTCATCTGTTGACTAGATGTCTGTTCAAAAGAGAGAAAACATCATTTCATGGTTACAATTTACAGTTGCCTGGGCTTTAAAATTAACTCCTCTTTTGATGTATCATTATCTTAGGCATTTTTAAAAATGAGAATTAGGATTAGACATTTAAATCTTCTATTCCAGCCACTCACCACCTGGGATAAATTGTGTTCCTTTGGACTATTCTGAGATTGTTACCTGGTTCAGTTTTAAATGCCTTCCACAAGGGAAACTGACTCTTCATGTGAACTTATTTTATAGCTTAGTTCTGGAGATTTTTCTTAATTATTCTTTATTGTTTATGATTAGTGGTCAAAATGCTAAAGAAGGCAGAAGGCTGTTTTGAAAAAAACCTTTTAGAGGTTTTTACACTGTCAGCTTAAAATGTGTAGCCCTTGCAAATCGAATGGATTAAGATACGTTAATATTATAATGTTACCCACCTTTTACCTACTGAAGAGCTAATCAATACATTTTTCATGATTTAGTCATTTGGTAGCAGCAATCAAAATTGAGTGTAAAGGTATCACAGGTTTGTGGTTTTATAAAAGCTCTAGGACTATCTTACTGTTTACACATTCTGCAGACTTCTGTACCTGAAGCTTTGCTGCGTAAGATTTGAAAATAATTACAGCCACACAGTCAAATGCCTACAGTTAGGGCTGTGTCAGCGTTTCTGTAAAGAATCTCATTTCTATCTTAGCCATAAGCATTATTGCCAGTTAGGAGCTGGCATTTAATATCTTGATTTGAGAGTCAATTACTTTAAAGCTGCTTTAAAAAATTGGTCCAAATGATTTTGAGCACTCATCCATGTGAGGTTACTCTCCAGGTATTATTACAGTACACAGCATGACAATTTAATAAAGTAATTTCTATGTTATTCTTGCGCAGTGGTTATAATGTAAATTGTAATATGTTTAAATTATTTAAAAAATTTTTTTCTCACTTAACCTTTTTATTGCACCACTGTAAGATTTTGTAACACTATTTCATCATGAATATTTTTAATTGGGCCAAATTTGGATCCCTAATCAGTGTTTTTATGAGTCTTTATTATTAAGAACCTATTTGAACTTTTTATTTCTTGTGATATGAACACTGGTGTTGATGACAAGTCCATTCTTAGTTCATTACCCTGCTCAATAAAAAGGATCTAAAACAATTTACAGTATAGATTTCATATTATAGGAAGTATTCTAAGATATTATTGATTGAAAACTTCCATTTTATGGTATTTTTAATGTATGAAAATCTAGATTAAAAACCTTCAAATAATTTTTTCATGCTGTACAATTAGTATATAGTAAATAATTCTATTTCCTTAACTACTATTAAAAACAAAAGTTTTGTTATTCAAATCCAAAAGCTGTAGGATATATT